ATGAAGTAAGCAAAGATGAGGCCCATCGACACAAAATATGCAAACAAACCTTCAAAGGTTAGCTTGTTATCACTAGCGTAAAGCCTTTGTAGCTTGACCAGGCGAACGAGACCATCAGGAAGCGCAGTCATTCCATTCCCGCTAACATTCAATGTCTCCAAGGTTTCCCAACTACCTTCCGGAATGGTAAACTTGTCGATCTAAGGAAAAACAAAACATTTTTCAAATTCCATATTCACATACAATAGATTCGCCAAAGAGAATACCTTGTTTCCGCTAATGTCGAGTTTGCGCAAGCTTTTTAACTTGAAAAGGGCTTCAGGCACCGCTGGTAGGTCATTCTCAGCAAAGTCAATGTCCTATTGAAATAAAGACTTTTTAAAAGGAAAACAAAATGATAGAGATCAAATACGGTGAAGACTTCAGAAAGAGAAATATCAAAAAATAACTTACTGTTAGATTCTCTAGATCATCTAAGGATGGCGGGATATTCTCTAGGGTTCTATTGGTGTTGCGCATATGCAAAACTCGAAGAGCGGTCATACTAAACAAAGCAAATGAGTAATTTCACATGTGTATTTTCAAGTTATTTGAATTGAAGAAGTAGACCTTGGCAACTGCTTTAGCTGAAAATGATGTAGAGGATTGTTAGAAAGCTTGAGGTCTTGCACCATCGTTAACCTTCGTATTTGCGGTGGAAGCATATCCAACTTGTTATTTGATAAATCCAAAAAAAGTAGATCTATGAGATTTGAGAAAACCTAAAAAAATTCAATTCTCAAATGGTAACCATAGCTTCTGCTTCCAACTAACCTGATTTGGTATGGTCTCTATATTATTATAGCTTAAATTGAGGACAATAGCTCCCTTGGCATACTCAAGATTAGGAGGAACTTCTCGAAGTTGGTTATGGGAGAAATCAATAATGGTCAGATCTTTCATACGAAAAATATCCGTGGGAATTCCTGCCGTTTTAACCTGAGAAGTTCAGTTATAGAAAATGGTAAGGAAGCTAAAAAGAGAAAGTGCTTACCTGATTGTGCCGAACAATGACTGATCGTAATCGAGGGAGATCAGATAACTCGCCGTGGACGCTAGACAAGAAATTCCTTGACATTTGCAAATGTTCAAGGTTCGTACACCGTGATAGCTCATCAGGCACCTTAACAAGTAATTACTAATGTTTGCTCAATTTTGCAGAAGGATCCAAGATAGGGAAACAAATTTAAAAGCTAAAAAAGATAGCCCTATGTTCGATATATTGAAAATCATAATAGAAAGCCCTTTTTCATTTCAGCTCACCCTCTCTAGTTTCGCTCTGTTTAGCTTCAACCATGTCATCTGGGTCATTTGTTCCACAGCGTGTGGAAAGCGATCACCCTAAACATCACAAT